GCACCCAAGGAACTTCATTGTGTGTTTCTTTCACATGTCACTGGAGTTACCTCACTTGTCTCACTGCCACTCCTCATCACATTCCAATCCCACGCCACACCAGTTTGCCATGCACCCGCACCCTATCACCATGTGACCCACGCTCAAACGCGTCCTCTGTACTGCCGGCCCATCAAACTGGCACCCAGCACCCTCCTTGCATGACGCAACCCCATCAACTTCTCACTCATTGACTCCTGCCATCACAATGGCGCGGCATCGGTGCTGCTGGCCCAGTGGCACAGCACAGTGACGCCATCACACCAAAATGGCATCAATCACACGTCATCACACTGCGCCCCACAGTTCGCCCCTGCGGCAGCGAGCCATGGCTTGCCTCCGCGGCTCAATGCTACTACCAGCCCATTGAACAACCGCCAAAAGGCCAGCCTAACGTAAGGCTCCACTGAGAGCCGTGCTTTCACCTCTGGGTGTCGGCAATGGCTGTGATGGCCCTGGGCGCCATCCTTAGTAATGCAATTGGAAATGGTGCAATCACTTACCCAATCCGTGTCGCCTTGGGGCGAATGGCCAGCACCGCCATTCGGTGATCAAAACACAAAAGTGGCCAACTAATGTTGGTCATTTTGTGGGAACACGAACAAGGCCCACAGGAACTATCAGCATAGCCACCGTAGGCACGAAGCAGGCGCGAAGTACCCTCCAGCACGGCTGGCCATGAACAGAAACTCGCGCAGCACTATGGAAGCACCAGTGAGCCTCCGCTGGCCGCAATGTACTGGAACTGCAACCGTCGACTCCTCACCGCCCAGAACGACTCGGGAACCCATGCGCGTGCGGCAAAACCACACCGATGGGCTCAGAGGAACACGCTGAGGAGCTCCACATCGAGACATCGGAGCAATGCCCCCAGATTGCAGCAAACGGCCGAGGGTCATCCATGGGGCCGCGGGAGGCCCATCCCATCCACCTGGCCTGATTATCAATCTCGACGAGCCAAGCAAAAAGTAGCAGAGGGAAAACACGAGCAAGGGGGAGGCCTTGAGGCCTGCCGGAACAGAATGCAAGCGGACGGCGAGGGAAGAGAAAGCCCCCACATTCAATGCGGTCGGACACGGGTCCCGCGAATGGCCATGGCTCATGGAGCTGCACGGTCGATCCTCGCTCTCCAACGAAAAAGTAACCCGGCAGGATTATGGACGGGGAGGTTGCCTCCCATCCTGCACGGGGAGTTTGGTCGCGGAGGCCCAGGGGAAAGAACGCGGCCGTCCTGGAGGCCGGCGGGTCACGGGGTGTGAATGGGGACGCAGAGGCTGGTTCGGGGGAAAACGGCTGTAGTGCCGATAGCTGACTCAACCTGGCACCTGTGGGGGTGCCGCGGTGGGCTGGATCGCCCAGTATCGGGCGCGTATCGACCGTGGGAGCGTGTCGGCGTAGTTTACAACCAGCTGAAACTTCCAACAAGCCTGGACTTGGCTGTGCACCTGTTTTCAGAACTCATTATAGTTTAGATGAGGTCATTACATTTTTCTGACATTTTCCATGTACTCAGTGATCGATTTGTAATGAGTTGGTACTATTTTCAACTCATTCTGACCTCTTCTGAATTAGTTAGAGTTCTTATTCGGTGCCAAAGTTTGGGCTCCAGGGACCCAGAGGTTAAGAACAGGTTATTTGGATTAGTAATGAGAAAGATATGGCATTTTCTGTGATTATGACCATCTGGCTCATATGGTATTTATAGTCCACATGTAACGGGTTCGGATGAACTGCCCAAAGCCTCCAGCATGGCTGGTTCGTCGTCCAGTGTGAGTGAGGACCCCCGCTTGGCGAAGATCAGGCGCTGGCGACAACTTTTAGGAATGCCCTGTGAGGAGTTCGATGCTGCCTCAATTTGACTGACTTTTTGGCAGCGTTTTCTAATATTTTTGTGAGTGGTTGGAATGTGCACGGAGGGTGAATTGCACAGAACTAGTAGTGAAGAGATGCAGCTCGTATTGTGAAGTCAAGTGTTGCTATGAAAGACAGCTCTTGTCTAATGTATTGTGAGCAAAGATATGCAATGCAAAGCGAAAAAAAGAAGAAAAGGGAACAAAGTGTATGTACGGGGAGTGGAAACATGGATCTTGATGGGTGAAGTGGAGCGGACTGCATTGATGCATCCGTCGGCATAGATTTGTGACGTTAGGATGTACAGCTAGTACTTTGTGATGTTGATTTGATTGAAAGGGAGTCTCCTGTATGTCGATCAGGTCTGATCGTGATGGAGCGCAGCAGGAACCGTTGTGGGTGAGTCAGCTCTGCGTTGAGGGGACGCTCTGAGGAATGGGTTCCATTCCCAAGACCTCGGAGGGCCCTAGCATGACGAGAGGGGTGATTGGTGTGTGGGGAGGGCCGTGTGGCTGTGATACGATGTCAATGACTTGAGGGAGGCGAGCGTCGGAGCCGCAGGCACCCAATAGGGGGCTGTGGTGCGCCTGGGATAGTGATGGGGAATATTCGTGGCTGAAAGGTGGCACCCTTAGGAATGGGGGGCATTCCCCAAACCTTGGGGTGCCATAAGTATTGTGGGAGCTGGGGTTTGGGATCCCTTCCAGCGGGTTGTTGGGAGCGACGACGGGGTTGTTGTGGGCGGACACAGCTGTAAGACATTCCCTGTTTGTGAACGAGTGAGTGCAAACAGGTGGCATTGGCGCGCAGCCAAGCACCAGCGCCCTACAAGGGGGCTGTGTTGTGTGTGGAGAGCTGTGGGACGACGGGAGAGGGTCGCTGCCCCCTCGACCGTTGGGCGAAGGGCTGACCTACTCAGTCGCCCTGTCGCCGAGCTGCAAGCTCTTTCTCGTTCGGTGTCGTCGACCAGCTGACCCTCGTTCGCATCATATTTCACTGACAAAACGCAGCGACGAGTTGTCCAAGTGCTGAAGAACAGCTGAAGAGCCTTCTCAAGTGTTTCAGTGGTTCAGGGCTGTTGTTTTGAGGCTGGTCTTGACAAGCCCTTGACCAGCTGTAATCGTCCTTGGCGATCAGCATATATTTCCGTTTCCGTTTGCCTTCAATTGATCCCAAGCTCATAAGAACAGTAAAGCGGAGTGGTCCTGGGCATCATCAGCGTGACAGGAGCACCAGAAAGTCGTTTCCTTGAACGCAACTGTGTATATCGTCGCCTGGCTGATCAAACACGATCACACAGTTTGCAATACGGGAGTTGTAAGTCCGATTCTGGGACTCGTCTGGTCTACGGTGTTCTGTTGCAAATATCCCAGCTGGTTATCATCATCCGTGTCAGTCAGGCTATCGCCCGCAGTTGAGCCAATCTGTGAGAGGAGCGAAGCTTGAGAAGAACCGTTTTACAGCCCAATTTGCATCATGATGAACTGGGCACTCGTTCAATAATATTGGAAGATGAATAATGTTGGATATGTGTGTCAATATTGTAGGGCTAATCCTTGAGCGGGACGTCCCACCCTCCCCTCGAAGACGAGTGCCGGGTGAAAAACTGGCAAGAAAGATATGTGCGGCCGAATGGCGCGGGGCTAGTTGGCCCCGCAATCTTAGGAACGATTCCTCAGAATTTATCTCCAAAAGCGCCCGAGGTAGCTCCATGATCCTCCCGACCCGCAACACTCCAAGAACAAGCATCCAAGGGGAAATTCCGAACAGCGAAACAGAGAAGGTGGGATGATTAGGGAGATTATGGCTGCCTCATCGCCTTGATATGTAAAGTTTCTTGATCAAGAAGGGAACTTCTAAGGTGCGATGCAGAGTGCTCATTGGACGTGGGCGTTGCTCAGGCCGATCTGTTGTCGTCTCTTGGCAGGAAATCCATTGCCTGACATCGCTTCTGTCTATAAACTGCAGGCATGCGCGGAAAATGGCGAAGTTGTGCGTAAATTCGGCTGCCTCGCTGATGCGCCAGTGCAGCCACAGTTGGCTTTAAAGCGTTTGCATGACAGGGCGTCATAGTTGAACGCTGAGCGTGGTGTGCTGGACGGCGGTGCACTGCAACCTTCTCAGGACAATCCTGATAGCTCTGGATAGGGCAAGGCCAGCGCCTGTGTAGTTCGCCGCCAGGCAGATACGTAATCAACCTTTAGGATAGGACTCAAAATTTTGCGACGCAAAGCATATGCGGACAATCTGGCATAGAGGAGGGAGGACACTGCGGGCCTGATGCCGGGCGGGCTTGGCGCCCTGTGGCGAGGAGCACGCACTGAAGCTTGTCGGGATTGGCTGCTCCTTCGGCCAACATGGCTCCAAGGTCAAGCTACTGAGTGCGAAGTTCTTGTCTCAGTACACAAGCCAACACATTTGCATGGGTGCAAACGTGCAGAAGACACTCGCTGTTCACGCGCTGTGAGCTGATCGCAAGGGGCAATGTCGTGACGGGTCCCCTTACGACGTGATCAGAGCGATTCTCTTCGCATCAGGTGCAACAGAGGGTACAAGATGTTGGTGCAGCCTGCACAACGACCCAACTAAGCGCCTTTGGCAACAGCATCCGCAAACATTACATTTCATACAAGTACAGCACACTGCAGCCCAATGCCACCCCTCCAGAAGCACAGCCCATGCAAGCGAGCACATGCCAGAAGCTGCCGTGACAAATAATCATTAGCAAAGCCCTATTCACCCCCCACCTCCGCAAAAAACCCAAGCCAGCATTCCTGCACTGCCGCCGCCGTGCAGCCAAAACCGTTCAATGCGTAGCCGCGCAACAGAATCCCAAGTAGCCCCCACTGCTCTCTGCACGCAACCCCATCAACACGACGTGCCCTGCTCTTCCCATGTCCACACACCCTTGACAGTAATTCCCTAAGCTGCTCCACATCGCCCTCATCGACGCTCATCCTGGCCGATGCCCCAAACAATGGAATTATAACCCCTCCCTCTTGTACCCCCACAGTTTCCTCAATTCGGTTGGCTCAACGAACGAACAAAATTCATTCACATAAGGTACACCACACTCTTCACAGGTCGCACACACGCCCATCCACCTACTCTTAGCACGGCTCGTCGTTGCTGGTGGCGTTCGTGTACATTGGGAACCCCATGTACATCATGTGGTCTTCGATGGATGTACAGGATGCGTAGTGGCACGCGCTATCATGGCATGTTGGGTCCTCCCCGCTGCCATCGCACACTTTGTATGTCATCTTGATGCCAGATGGGCTGCTGGAGTCAGGGATGTCCACCTGCCAGACCTCCCGCGGCGTGTGCCAGTAGCCCATGAACTCGTAGGGCAGGGAGGGCACAATGTCCTTGTCATGGGTGAAGCGCCAACTGTGCTCGATCTTCATCGCAACACCCACGATGTTGAGCAACGCTGATATGTATAGTGACGCTTGTGATATGGTAAAAACAAACGACACAACGCCCCACTGCATTGCTGGGAACAAGCCAATGTGCGTTTGCTGAGTGGGAGAGTCTCCACAGCATGGTCTGGGCCCAGTTTTCAAACCCCATTTGTGCACCTGTGTAGGGACAAACTGGGACACGATGGAAACAGCACATTTTGCATCGATGATACTCCATGCAAGCTCGCTAAAACAAAAACGCTGTCAGTTTTGAAGCGTGAAAGGTTGCCGGCTGCTGTGAGAACAACCAGCAGAGTGTTGAGCCAGAGAACAGACCACTCAACTCCCCTTCAAGCAAGCAGCCAAAGTGAACATACCGTCTTGTTGAAGAAGTCCGAGAACTTCTTGTTGCCAGTCCTGGGCTGGCCAAAGGTGGTCACCCTGACATCTGACAGGCTCAGGTTGAACTTCAGCCAGAGGGCGGCCAGGTCGGCCATCGCCCCCCCCATCGAGTGCCCCACCACGTAGGTAGTCTGATTCGTGCCATACTTGTCCACAAGCCGCTGCACGGCTGCGGTTGTGTTCTCTTTCAGGGCGCTGTTGGCCCACAGCTTGTAGAAGCCAGAGTGGATCTGGCACCCCTCGGCCCCAGGGTAGGAAAGCGGGTACTTGCTCCTCCAGCTGTCGAAGTCCTCAATCCAGTTCCAGAAGTCGTGGCTGTCCGTGCCTCTGAGGGAGCACGATCACAGATCAAATCAATCACAACAAAAACAGACACACGATTCCAAAGACAGTTAGACGAACGCGTTTGACACTGTTAAGTGCACAACAAATTTATGAACTCATGCAGCCAACAGACACAGCTCATGCGAAACAATACCGCCGACCGTGCATCAGAAGTTTGTCATAGTTCACGCCCAAACAGTGTGAGCAACTGGGATTGTGGAAAGACAATAGGACAATGGCTTTTTGAAAGGTTGACTGAAAGGGGCACTGGTACATGCAGTTGTTATAAACAGCAATGTGTGTCACAGAAACATGAGCAGCTGGGCAGCTACCCGTTCTGGTGTTTTCTTCAGGTGCAATATTTGCCTTCTATCTTGTGCAAAAACACAGAGCACAGTTACCCAGGCAATGGTTTTCCGCATTTTGACAAGCGCAGTCACATCTACTACACACTGCGGCGACTATACCACAGCATTCAGTACTGGTACATGGCATACAGTACATGTTGCTGGGTGTGCAGCGCATAGGAATCAAGTCTCAGCATGATGTGTGCCAAATGCACCTGATCGCAACGATGTTGGCTTTCCATGCTGGAAGATATCCCACATATGTGAAGACATCCCATTTGGAGTCATACACCGTGTCCTCCACAACAAAGCCCTGAACCTCATCCCATCCACAGCGAGTGCAGTTCCAAAGTCTCAGGGCAGGAATGTCCCTGCAGTATGATATGGACTCGAAAGCTGCCAGCGCGCGGGACTCGTTGAAGGGGAAGGTGACATTCGCCGACGCATTGCCAATGGCTGCAAGGGAAGCACAAGGCGGCCGGGAATGGATCAGGCAGTGCAGCAGAGTTGAGCAGGGAAATGCCTTGAAGAAAGCACCCCCACCCCCCATCCCAAAAAACTTTCTGCATCCCATAATGCCACTCAAATTCGCCAAAGAAAGGTACCTGAAGAAAAACCATGGAATCGGGCAGCACTTCCTGCAGTTCCATGAAAAACATTAGAATGCTCTGCTTCTTGCCTGGATACAATAAGCACAATATTGGCGACAAAGCCGACAACGGACACACAGCAACTGAGAAGCACAGCCTTCAAGAATTGGCAAGGACAGTGGTGCAAACATTGACATCACCACCTGGTTGAGGCACTGTTCAGATTCTGCTAAAAGCAATTTTTACAACTATTTAACATCTATTTACCTAGGCGCTGTTAGCAACTGATACGGCCAGTAGCAGCCACACAACAGCTCCAATCAGATTCAAGCACATGCTCTCAGTCAGTTTGGCAGTGGAGGCATACCCACAACATAATCAGGAGGCAAATAGTCCTCGTTCTTGAAGGAGGTCGCACGATCGAATGGGGGGTTACGATCGGCGGGCAAGAATTTCAATCCCTGGCTTTGGTGCACTGCCTCGTCACTGCATTGCAGCAAGAACATACAACGAGTCGTGGTGAGCTTTTCAACAGCAGGTAGAGAAACCAGCAGGATTGAACCAGGGGCACCTGTTCCCTGGTTTGGTCCCTTGCAATTTCAAGCGCATTTCCTCTCCTACCCCTTTCTTCAACCATGTTCAGATGTGTTGCACATAGGTTGTGAACAGCTGCCACAGTTTGGTCATAGACATGACTGTCACCACCTGCCAGGTGTAAGGGCTCAACATTGTATGGTGATGGCAAACTCAGCACGAAAAATATAGCAACTCCTTGGCCCAGATTCAAAGTAGTACCCCTGGTTGTAAAGCAGTAGGACTAGTGCTGAGCAAAGCCTACTTTAATTACATTTGGCAGCACACGACGATATACTAGCCTGGCTCCGTGGACATGGCAGCACAGCAACAGGCAACAGGGAATGTGCAGGCAAGCACTTGCTGGCACACATAGCTCCACATCGCACCACACTTCACGAACATTACACTGTGCTTGCATTCACTGCCTCACATCACCAGCTTGGTGCACAGGCTTGCCTTGTCATATTTGCGACAAATCTGCCAATCAATGGGATTGAACACAACATCACTTGCTTTGCTGTGGTCCTGACGCCGACATTCACAATGCGCTGCAGACATGGCTGTGTGCCACATGCTTCTATTGGTTTCTTGGTGTGCATCTGCTCCAGTCACTACTTGACATGTTTCTCCCCCGCTTGAAGGCTTTGCCTGGTTGGGGTGTGGATGACAAGTGCAACATGAGGCATTGTGGTGAGCTCCATGAATAATCCGCATTCCAAATTTTGACTTTTTTCAGATAACAGCTTGTTTTTCCTTTGGTTTATGATTTGTACTGTGTAGCAGCTTTTGTTTCTGTACATCATTCAGGGCACACGTGTTAGGACACGACTAACGCCAAAACCGACAAGCTGGGTGGTGACAGGACGCTGTCCTGTGTTAATGAACGTTTCAACAAGGCAGAACGAGCAATAACCTTTCGATCGTTCCAGAAAAGTACATCACATAGCAGAGGTAACAGAGATCCTTCTGCTCCAGAGCTCTTTCAATCATCATCATGCCTTTGATCCAATTTACATCGAATTGCAGTTTCTTTTGAGGTGGCAAAAGGGCTCTTCTATCAAACAGTGGGACGGCCTCAAATAAACAAAGGCAATTCGGAATCACGGCATGCATTGGATTGACCAGTGTGGCAATTTTCCACCCTGCCACCATGGATATATTCATTCCTGCAAAGCACCTCAGGCCTCACCTTTCATAGAAGCCCTGCATGGATTCGTCCTGACTGTACCTCAGGCGTGTGGGGACCTCCTCGGGGGCAGCTGCATGATCCAATCACGACAGTGAGTCTCTCCATACAGTACACTCCTGCCATGGTCTTGGAGGTGCCAAGGCAACCCAAGTCATCTACTGACAAACGAATCAGAGAATTGTCTTGCAACATGCCGTAACTCGGTGTTGAATCACTTGACAGGCACACTAAGGGCATAAATGCTTGCAGCGCATTGCCATGCATGGTTTGATACTTGTCCTGCACAGCTCAAAGACTTCTGCATCATACTCCCACTGCTCAACTGGGTCTCCACATCCTTCATGCAAAAGGTTTGCCCACTCATACCGTGCCCCCTGGGTTTCCTTCAGGAACCACTGCACACTAACAGGGCTGCAACAAGTACAATATGACCAGCTGTAGCTTCCCGTCAGGTGCTGAACATCGGGGACGGCCGGACGCGAACAGCTGAACCGCAATTCACTCGAAAAAACCGAACTATCTGCTGAACATCTGGGAAGACGTGCAACCCGATGTATTTGGCGCAGCCTGGATCAGCGCAACTGGCGTTCAGCCCTTGTGAACAGCGACGGCAGACTGCTCCACGGTCAAGCCTTTCCACCCCGCGATTGGCTCCGTCATCCACCACAAACGCAACGAACCCATGGATCGAACAGCACCGACCCCAGCGTCGGCTCGCAAGCACATCTCCCCGCGCAGGTCCACCCTCTGGCCCCCCCCTTTCCAGATGCAATCCATCAACGCAAGCACAGCCAGGAAAAGGCAGACGCGACCCGAACCGCATCGATCAGGGGAGCACAGTTGCCGAACTATCCCGAGTCCTGCCTACTCCACGGAGCGCGCCCACCCTTCCCGCTCCCCCCTTCCCGTCGGTTGCTACGCCGTCCATCCCGCTCCCGCCAACACTTCAGCGGCGCGGCACACCTCGAATCGCCCAATCCACCGGCGTGCGATGCCGCGACGCGCCCCAGCCATTGCCGGGGACACGGCGGGGCCCCCCGCGCCCAGTCATCCGAACTCACCTCCGCAGGGCCCCAGGGCAGCCGCGAGGAAGGCGACCACCGCACACGCCATCCAAGGTCCTCGCAACCTGCCGACGACAAAACACGACAACGCCTCAAACGCAGACGTCGCTCCCCACACGCATCAGGATCCACCGACGCGCGTTCCGCCCTCACCGTTGCACCACACCCAGGAGACCAGACACCCCACCAACTCCCCAGAGCTGGGTGCCTAATCACCCCTCCCATCCCTCCCGCCAAATAAAAGAGAAAAGAAAACGATTCGGCGGAGAAATCGCGCCGCGGGCCCAACTTCGATCGCCGGTTTGGACCCGGAACTCAAACGCCGCACGATCCCACCAACTCGGGCCCCCCACCCCACCCGCTCTCCTGCTCTCAGTGACGACTGTGCCCAGTGCTCCATCCCTCACACCGGAGACTCTGCACCATCTTTTCAAAGCGCGGAAAAGAGTCTCACGCGCACTTGCTCAGGAAGGGTTGCCCTTCGCACGACCCGTTTCTCCACGCAACTAATCCACCCCCCTCCCCCCTCCCCCCTCCCCTTCCCCCTGTGCTTCGTGATGCTTGTGCAGTGTGATGCTCTCCTTACACTGGACATTCCAAACAATCTTTTCAAAGCTCGGGCAGGAGCATCGCGAGCACTTGCTTAGGACGGCGTGCCCTTCGCGCGACCCGTCTCTCCCTGCAACAAATCTCGCCCCTCTCGCAGCACGAAATCGCCCACCGTTCCACGCACCGATTCATCTTTCACCATCCGCGCCCGCCGATCGGGGGCCCGGGAGCGGACCCTGCGTCCGCGGGGTGCGCGGGCAGGCGCGGCGCGGCAACACGGCCGCGCTTCAGCAGGCAGGCGTCGTCCGGAAGCGGCCGCTGCGGTTGACAGAAATGGGGGCCCCGCGTGGGCCACAGGTCGGGTTGGCGTCAGCAGGGACACGTAAGGGAGAAAAATGTGGTGGGGAGAGGGGGTGGAAACCGGCGATTTTTTTGAGCCCATTCTCACAGCGTTCCGGAGACGGACCGTGAGCACAGAGTCGCGAAGGAGACGGTGACGGGTCACGATTGGGCGTTTCTCAGCCGTTTAGTTTTTTTTTTATGTTTTCCCAGTGCGGGCAGGGAGACGGGTGAGGGTTCAGGGCGTGTGTGTACTGGGGTCTACGTCTCCTTCTCGTCTCCGTCACGTCTCCGTGCTCGTGGTCTGTATCCGGAATGCCCTCCCCGTTCCCGATACAGACCGCTCATACGGAGACACTGTATGTGTCTGACCTGGGCCCTCACGCCAAACCGCTCAATCCTAAAATGCTTCCGTCTCCGTCAACGTGTCCAGGTTTGTTATTCGCATTTACGTTTACGTTCTTCCGTGCATGTTTTTACGCATAAAACGTAAATCTGCAAAGGGGCTATTTTTACGGCTGTTTTTACGTTTTTACCGCTCGTTGTGATACCCAGGTTACACGAAGGAAGGTTCGTACGGTGATCATTACTCCGCCCCCTTGAGCGCCCGCAACACAGCGTCCACTTCCCATTCGGCAAGGGCCACGATGGCGTCGAACAGAATTCGTTTTCTGACCATTCCAATGCGTCGAGATGCCATTCCCCGGAGTCCTGAAGGCTGTATGTACTGTCCTTATGTACACGGGGCTGTTTTTAAGTTGTATTTACGTATTTTTACGCGTTTTTACGCGTTTTTACGTTAAAAACGTAAAAACTATTTACGCATAAAAACGTAAATACGATCTGTGTTTACGGCGTAAATAGCAAGCCTGACCGTGTTCGTGTGCCCGGTCTGTATTGGGAAGAATGTGTGTATTTTTGCCTTCCGTGTGTTGGGTGAGGTGTCACCCAAAGGATAGGACTACCCTGGCCAGTGGTTTCGAACAGCAATGAGACATTAATGCAGACCATAAGCAGAATATTCTGCTGGTGGCACCCAGATCGAGCCCTGGTCCCGACATCTACTATACTGTCCGCATCACTACAACGTAGCGTAGTGATAGTACTGCCTCATGTTCTTGTTTCTTTTGCTTTGCTGTATCCTCTCCCGCCCAACGCACACTCCGGGCAAGTGTGTTGCAAGCTTACTCGTCAAATTTTCCATCTCACGATGCCCATGAACTTCCAACTGAACTTGACCTTAGCTTGCGATGCAAAAGAATGCGCCAATTCCCCGCTACTTTATCATCAAGTAATCCTCACACCAAAATCAATATCTAAAGGGAAGATATTGTTTCGAGTTTTGTACGCTTGGCGCCAAATTAGTGTTAAACTAAACCCCACTCCTACCCCCACCCCCCACCCCTCCTACCGTCAATTCTTATTTTGATGCCAGGATGACTCATCAACATTACCTGACTGTGGTATGGAGCACAGAATAGTTTTAAGACAAAAAATAGCAATGGCGATTACCGTGATTTGACAAAGGGATGCCAAAGCCCCTTTTTTTCCTAGTGATTCCTGCAGCTGCGCGCGGACCAAGGAATGTGCCGATGTTGGGCACGTGTCCTCATGGTTGCTTTGCAATTTATTTTTCTGCAGAATTCTGGGACATTGCATGATGGCCACTGAAAAGCCTGATTATCGTACACATGATCTCAGAATACTTGGACAATGTGATAAATGTGCCAATATTTTGTGGCAGTTGGTTGTGCAAATTCCCTGATGTGAAACTCGTTTTGGTTAACAACACCTAGTCCCATCTACCGCATTCAAAAACAGGTCTTCCACATCAGAATATTTCTTTTCTCTTCGACTGTCATGCAACCACTTCGAAGTTGGCAGTGACTTAACCTGTCCCATCATTGTTTCGAATCGCCCTTTTCCTGATCATTGGCATAATCATTGGAGAGCATTGGTACAATTGGACAGAAACTGGGTCGATGCGGGTTGGTTGTGCATTTTCCAAGTCTGATACGAGAGTTGCCGTATCTAGCTCCTCGTCCATACCGAAACCATGCAGGCAGCTGCAATCTAACAGCAAGGCCGTAGCGTCCACGCGCCAGCGCATGGGCCTATGCGCTGGCGTTTCCCAACCGCTGGCGAACACCAAAAACAGCCAGAGTCATCCGCTGGCATTCCGCCGGCAGGGCTCGGGATATGCAGGGTAGGGTCCACAACTAGTGCTGGGCAGCACTGCGCGCCAGGGGCGCACGCAGCATTGAACGCAGAAACGTAACGGCGATCCCAGTGTCACAACATATTGAAATGGGAACAGATGTGCATTTGGATGCAGAACATCCACGAATTGTTAACTCGTCGTGTTCCAGTCAGATGAGCGCTATGTTGCGTTGAGGGAGCAGTGTTGGTCGAGTGGGTACCCACCGGTGATTTGGATACCACGAGCCTGTTCGATATCCTGTAGTTTACAGGCAGATTTCCGTGGTTAAGAAGAATAATTTCGTTGTTGCAGTTGATACGACCAAATCTGGTTCCAGGCAAGCAGTTGCTCGACCCATGCAGTTCCATTTTAGTAGATGCACTATTTCAATGAAGGATCCTTAAACATGTGCTCCGTTGCTTTGTTTTTCGAACACGGTTCCGCCATTAGTTCTAGCAAATTCAACAGATCTTTCCTCTACAAGCGGCGACAATCCACAGAGACGGTGGGAAAGAGCACAGCAGTGCTTTGCTTGTCGCTTAAACAACATTGCCAAACTCCCAACATGAACTGAGCGAGAAGAACCTCTGCTCGCGAGTTAGCCAATACCTAAGCTTCTGCGCCTGCTGACAAAACTGTCCGTTTCACACTGTTCCTAATTGTGTTCGAATTGGGCCAAGATTTGACTTATCGTGTGTTTGAAATTCAAACCGTGTTGCAAAGGACAAATTGTGTTGTCTCAACCATGCAGTGGTGCCGTACTTTACATATATACCCACACTTGTGCAAAAAGATTCATCTGTTGTCGTTCCTCCACCTGCAGATAGAAGTGGCCAATGGTCCAGTTTCGCTCAAATGATGCGCCGCCCTGCGGCGTCCATTGCGCGGACTGCATTCCCGACTCAACTGAACGGATTAAACGGACTCCATTCCCCACATTGTCGCGGAGCAGAACCTTCCGCAGTACACCAAGTTGGTGCAGGACGCCGAACGACGCGCCCAACCACACCCCCCTCACGCGCTGCCCATGGACCATCCATCCCCTTACGCGTTGCCCCTGCACATCCTTATGGGGGTTTATTACCCAAAGCCTGACACCCCCCCAGCCCCCCTCCTTGCCCCTTTGAGCGCCCCAGCCCACCGCCGGCCAATCCCGCGCCCCCCCCCCCCCCACCCGGGAAAAAGGTAGTAATAGTTTCGCCCCGGAATCCATGCTCATAACCCCCATTGCGCCCCATCCCATCACGGCGGGCGCGCACTGCACGCAGATCCGCCCCATGGAGGCATGGGAATCGTGCCGCCGGCTGGCGCTGGACGGTCCGCCGCAGCGCCGAGGGGCCCAGGTGGAGCCGGAAGGCCTTGCGCGGGCGCTGCTGGGACACGCCACCAGGTGGGCCCCCCCGGCTTCGCCTCCGCCGCAAAAACTCTCATCGCGGGTTCACTCTCGGCCAGCTGCGGGGCAGGCACAGCCCACCCCCAGGGAAAAATTTTGCGCATTTTGAAGGACTGGGAAGGCAGCACAGGGGGCCACACACTCGGCCAAGTGCGCGCTTCACTTTTTTCGCGTTGCTGTTTTTGTTTTGGGCCGCGGCTTGGATGCCGAAGAGGGGCTCGAGGTTTGGGAGCGCGGGTGGCCCGCTCAGGATGGCGGTCGGCGGGCTGCGATGCAGGATCGGGCGGCGGGCGTGGCGGCAGGCCGGCGAGGCGGGCGGCGGGCGGCTGTGGCTGGACGGCGGGGCGAAGGGGATGGCGCCGGTGGGGGTGCCGGAGGAGCCGGTGCAGTCGGCGAAGAGCGCCCTGACGGTGAGACGGGGGCGGGGTGGCGCGGGAAGGGGGGGAGTGCCGTGAATGTGGCGATTTGATAGTGGCGATTGAGGGAATGGGAATTGCGTAGCCCCCTCTGGAGCGGGACCTGCCCCGGTCTCTGGCCGGGGCGGCTGCCCAGCGGCCGAAATGTGGGGAGTGTTTGTCGAGTCTTGGGGTTTGCGCGCCCGGCGTGGGGATCGGGAGCGGGTTGGCGGGGAGTGGATGGATGGTTTCGCGCGCGGGGCTTGGTGGTGGGACGGTAGGATGTGGCTTGGGCGCTGGGGACGTCCTCATCTGGAGGTTTGCGCCACAATCCTTGTTGTGTCGTTGTGCACAAGACGGCCGAACGCCGACCGCAGTAGATGTTGGGCGCGGGGTGCGAAGCGTCTTGGCGCCCAATCGGCGAGCGCCGGAGCCCAGGGGATGGGGGAACCGCCGGTTTTCCCGCTGTCGAGTTCGCAGGCCTTTGGGAGGCATCTCGATACGAGCCGGAAGGGGGGCGGAGATCGCCGTCGGGGTCGCGCTCGCAACGCGGCTACTCCCGATCGGCTGCCGCCACTCCGGGAGCAATTTTTGAGTCGGCGAAGGCGCGGGCCGCCCCTTGCCGCGGGGAGACTGGCAAGAGGGAAGGTGAGGGTCGCTCGGGTGCGCCCCCGCCCACGTTGGGCGCTCCCAACGTGGGACACCTCACGCGACAACTCGCCTTGTTTGGGGATCCATTGGTGCCGTCCCGGGACTTGGGCTGTGGGGCTGAACCGCCGGCCCGCTGCGGCGCCTTGACAGCAGCCCGCCGCGCTCCTTGCGGGATTGACCGCTCCAGTAGTTGGTTACGGGCGTCGGCAATCCAAGCCCATAAGCTCGAACGCCGTCTCTCCCTCAGGAACCACCGGATCTCGTCCCACAGTGCGCACGACCGGGGCCGCCTTCTCTTGAATCCATTCTCCCCACCGCTCTGCCAATCGCCAGCGTGTGGGTCGTGTCGATTGGCCTCCCCGCGGCTGGCGCCACAGCCGATCCGAGCTGAAAATTTCGAGCGCCACCTCCCGCCCAGGACACGCCGGACCTCTTTTGAAAGACTCGCACAACCGGTACCACCTTCTCCTGAGTCCATGGCCCATTCTCCTCACCGCTAATCTCAGTCGCCAGCGTGTTCAGTCGGGTGGACTCCTCGCGGCTGCCGCCACCGGCCGACCTCCAGCCCTACTCGTCTCAATCCGAACGGTCGTGAAACGGTTTCTGACCAGTTCTGAAATCTGAACTCGCCTGACCTGGATCCTCGGCCCGTGCCCACCCCAATCCCTCTGTCGCCCGCACGTTCAGTCGCGTCGGGTGGCACGGCCGCGACCTCCGTCCCCAACCCGCCCTCAACCCGGACGGTCGTGAACCTGTTTCTTATCAGCTTTTCGAGTTGAACTGAAATCTGTTCTCACTCTCGAATCCAAAACGCCCCCCTTTGAGAGCATGTTTTCTTGCCTTTTTTTTGGGTTGCTTGTGTCGCTTGCTCATCTCTTCGCATCGGAGGCTCTGCATAATCTTTTCACAGCGCGGAGAAGGGCCTCGCATACACTCGCGCAGGAGGGGGTGCCCTTTGTGTGGCCTGTTTCTTTCTCTCTCTGTGACACCCACCCCACCCCACCCGCAGGACCTAGCGGAGCTTTTCCAGGGCAACTTCTTCCCGCCCCTGCTCGCGCGCGCGCTCTCCGACAAGGAGGTCGTCCGCCTGAGCACCTCCAACAAGGCCCTCCAGCGCCTGCTGGCCCCCGAGGTCCAGGAGATCCACGAGAAGGCCCGCGGGCGGGACGTGGCGGATTGGCTAATCAAGCGCGACGGGCGGGTCGACTCGATCCAGTTCCTGCTGTGCATGTCCTACGCGCTGGTGCGGTCGATCGCCTGCGGCGACATGCTGCCCTTTGACCGGTTCATCGGCGCCATGGCGTTCGGCTCCCGGGGCTTCCACGCCGACGCCGTGGGCTTCAACTCCATCCACGACATATTCGACTCCGAGGGGGAGGAGGAGGACGAAGCGGAGCCCTGGTTCTACTGAACCCCACCCTGCCCGCTGCACCCTGCGCTAAAGTACTAGGCCAAGGGCTCAAGTTGTAGGCTGAGGCACTGGGCCAAAGACTGTAGTACTGGGCTGAAGTACTGCGCTGAAGCACCAGGCGGAAGGCTCAAGTACTAGGCTAAAATAGTGCGCGAAAGTAGTGGGAAAAATGCTGCAGTACTAGACTAAAGTACTGGGTTGAAGTACTAGGTCGTGAGGGATTCCCGCACGGGCCAGCGGGCCGACTGGGGCACAACCAGGGCGTCCAAGTTGGGTGGCCCCGGGAAGTATGCGCGAGACGCGTGTAGGCCCCGGCTGTGGGGGAGTGTATCATGAGTTTGATTTCGACTTGGGAAGGCAGGGTGCGGGGGGTGGGGTTGCTGCGAGGTGGGGTTTGGGTACCTTCAGCTCGTGCGTGGTGGCGCTTCTGGAGTGTCGCGATAGGCGTGTGCTGAGGCCGCAGTGTTGGCGACGAAGGCAATGGAGCAAGCGTTTTGCCAGGGCTGAAGGAAATTGAGGCTGCGGGGCAGGCCATGGTGATGGTGGGGGAGGGGGGGGATACAGGGACGGGGATTCGCATGGATAGCATTGATCTGGCGCTGCCGATGGCCACCTTGTCTGTGGATGCGTGTGGCGCCTTGGGAGTGGTTGAGACCGTTGGACTTCTTCCCTGGGAGTGTGGAGGCGAGTTCATCCGGCACAAGAGAGGGGACGGATCTGCACAACTGGCAGTGGCACCGAATGCGACATTCTAGCAGTCGTCGAAGCAACTGGCGTGCCCCGTTTGGTCTCTCATTGATGCAAAATGGCTGGAAGGAAGCAGGGCACCGCTGTGGGTTCCGCTCTACAGCCTGGTGCTCTCATGCCATCAGCCACAATGCCGGACTGCCGCAGAGCTTGGGTGCCTCAAGAATCTGGACTCAGTTGTCGACCTTCTCAGGAAGGCCAAGCACCGGTCCAGACAACGTTGTTCGAAGGGGGGGGCTAGTGCATGCCTGCGTGGCCTTGGATGGCGTCTGGCGGGAACGAATGCACTGTGTAGGAGTCGTGCAAATGGAGTCGAGCGATGAACGAATAACTAGGAGGGTCATCGTGATTGCCCTGTGTGTACTGTAAACATGACCCCCTTGTTTTGACGCGTGGGATGAAAGGTGGAGATGTTTTTGCGGCAAGCGTTTTCGTATTGGGCAGGAGGGGACATTCGCGGGGGAGCCAACATTGGGGGATAAGTTTACATAAGGTGGTGCACCTGTGAATGAACAAAAACGCGTCCACATTTTCTGTAATGCATTGAATAACCAGGTCGTGTGACTGACTGATGTGCCTGATGACTCGCGCAGTTTCGAACCTGTTTCCTGCTTTCTCAATGCCAAATCGAAATAGAGTCATTCAAATAATGGTATGTTGAAGCGCGTCTGCACGACCCGACTGGTGGAAAAGCGGCCACCAAGTGGTTGTGAATATCATCACTGGAATGCTATAGGCATGTCCCAGCGTTTGCAACCGCATTTGTGCACATGAAGAATGCAGTGAAAGTTCAGCATCGAAAAACCAATTAAAAGGATTACGGTGTGGCTAGGTGCTCTTTGGGAGGCGTCTGGGGATGCGGGTAAGGCACGAAAGCACATGCTGAACTTGTTCAAGCAGTCTAAATTTCGCGTTCTCCGTTGGTCATTGAACAACCATACTCAAAATTTTCTTTCTTCGTTTCATTTCGTAATTCCATCCGATGATGCGAAATGTTCCCGCCATGGACCTTGTTTCCATCCACCAGTGTCAAATCGTGTTAAATCGTGTATTTGTCGCATAGTAATGTGACCAAACCGTGTAGTAACGTTTGGGTGAGTGTACATGAATTTCACACGTTTTGACACGGTTTTGCCCGATTTTTAAAAGGCTCGAAACCGTGTATTTGGCCGCGATCATTCAACCCACAAGGCCAACAATTGTATTTCATACTGCTTGTGTCAATGGAGTACCTGCGGCGACTTCTGCAGCAAAGCAATCGCTCATCGCTGCATACCCATCTGACGGAACAGGGCACAGCTGGATACCCTCAAATGTCACATCATGGGTCCTGTACAAAGCTACAAGGTCAAAATTGTGCACTGCCATTCAAGTCAGCACCACCCCCTCGCATGTCACCAGCTAGTGTGCTGGCGCTGGGCAGCCCTCCATATATGGCCAAAAATGCAACTCGTACAAAAAAACAGAGCCAGAAAAAAGAGCCAGCATTCATTCCATCACATTTGTGCTCACAAGACAACGTGGGGGGCTTTTGCAGCTTGCAAGCGAAAACAGGCATGTGGCATGGGCCTGTGGCACTCTTTGTGTCATCAGTGGCCCTACTTTCCTTTCCTTTTGCTCTTCTTCTTCTGTGCTTTGTCGTTGGGCCTTGCGTTTTGGGATGTGGTTCGCGTCGCCTGAGATCGTGAGCTGCTTCCCTGTCCCTGAAAACCAGAAAGAGGCACAGAGCACATCAAGGGCACAGCAATGCTGCTGGGCGTTGAAATTCCACCAGGTCTCTGGTGGCGCATTAGCTCTAGTCCGCAAGGTTTTTCAACTTTGGAGAGACCAATAAATCCAATGTCCAGAATGTGCTGTACAGAGGGTGGCCTGCTGGCAAAGACTAGTTCAATGCATCAGATAGAAAACTGCTGCAAAGCGGAAGGTGTGCTGTTTTGGTGCCTGCTATACATGAGAAGGTTGAAGTGGACTCATCGGCGATGCAACACAAGAAAGTGTTGCCTTAATGGCAACTCGCTGTCCATTGTGCATGCCTGTGGCTTGCATGGCAACTGCAGCCTGCGCTGCTCTTTGTGCTCTATGTTTAGTCAGTCCCACATTTAGCAGCCACAGCACTCTCTTTAGTTCTGCAACCAAAAAGTCCCTCAAAAAAGTGCAAGGCCAGCCCAAATATTTTGGCATAAACGAAGGAATTACTTCCACTGTTAATGTGCACAAGGGCACACGGGGGACAGAGGGGAATATGTTCCTTCAGTTTCTGATAGGCTGTCCTGCTCTCACCAAGCTGATGCCCTTCAAATCCTTTGATTACATTTGTCACATAGACATGACAAAACACTGCCCTTGCACCTTAGAGGCGATGTTGGGCATGAATTCCAGACCAGTGATGCTGATCTTATCGTATTGTTTGTTCAGCAGCACATAGAGTCCCCTCCCCGAGCCCTGAAAACCTTCCCATCTCCCAAAAGAAAGTAATTTCATGTTTCATCCCATTTTCTAGTAATGTAGCCAATCCACGCTCATGCCCTAGCATGGCACATTTCCCCCTACCCCCCACCCTGTCCCTCCTCCGAATCAGATACTGGGTCAGATCGTATATGTCTTTGGATTGCCTTGGATTGAAAGTCGCAAATCATTTTTCCAAAGTCACCAGGGTGGCAACTCAAACAGCCAAACAATTACTAATCCATGTGTGAGCAGAACCCCAAAAGCACCTTAATTCCCACAACAGGGCAACAGCCACCCAATGCCCAGCTTTTCCTATGACACGCTGCCTTTCGTTGTCCTTACTCAGCATGCAAATTATCTGCTTCTCGCAGTTTCAGACTTGCAACAGTGGAAATGCAGCAAAGTTGCCCATAGTTCTGGAAGTGTGCTTTTCATGCTATGGTCATCTGTTCCTGGCCTCAGCACTGTTGCTGTTCCCATGTTGCAAGGCATCGTCAAACTTTCAAGATGGGACAGGGCTCCAGCATTCCTATACCACATAAGGGGGGCCCAATGCATGGCATTCTTCTCTGTGCTACAATGAATCTTTGAGTGTCGGCAAAATTGTATTTGTAGAGCACCAAAGGAGAACTCCCATCTTTCACCGCGAGGATCAGGATTCCAGCATTTATACATTAAGGAGGGTTACCCAATGCACAACATTCCTCGCCTTGCTGGCTAAAGTCTCAACCAAGCCGCTAATAAGGATGTGCGAAAGGAGGAAGGGGGCCAGGAATCCAAACCCCACATTGGTCCCAAATTGGACTTCAAACTATGAACATTACAGCATACATTTTCCCCGAAACAGTGGTTCTTTGTACCAGTAGTCTTTCTACACTGGTTTCTCGATTACAGTGCAGCAACTGCTAAACAGATGACGAATTCCACAATAAGCCACATCACTAATTGAATGCCCCGAATGTCCCACTCGCCTCCACGGAGACCGCCAGCGATCCCCTTCCACACACCCACCCAACCCCATCTTGCTCTTTGTGGTGCTTGTGCTGCTTGCTCCCCTTGTTACACTGGAAAATCCTCATCGTCCTCTCACAGCTTGCAAAAGATTCTCATGCACACTTGCCCCAGAGAGTTGCCCTTTGCACGACTAATTTGTCTTCTCTCTCGGGACCAATCCCACCCACCACCCCCCAACCCACCCACCCGCCTGCTCGCACCAGAGACTCTGCATCATCTCCTCATGTCATGCGATGGAGTCTCGCATGCATCTGCCTGGGAGAGGGTGCCCTTTGTACGACCTGCTTCCCTTTCTCTTTGCAGTGCATCTCACCCACGCTCGCATGTGCTCAGGAAGGGTTCCCTTTGTATGACCTGCTTCCCTTTCCCTTTGCAAGGCATTGCACCCACACACACATCTGCTCATATGGGGTGCCCTTAGCACGACCTGTTTCCCTTTCCCTTTGCAGCACGTCCCGCCCACCCACCTGCAGTCTCCTGCGCGCCGCCTCCACGGCCTTCCGCCTGGGCCCGTCCTCCCCCGCCTCCCTCCCCAGCACACGCGCCAGAACGCCCGCCCCTGGGAACGCGGACCGCCTCAGCTTGTGGCCCTCCCGCCGCCACCAGCCGATCCCCGCGACCACCGCCACGACCAGCGCGAGCGGCATCAAGCCCGTCCGGTTCTCGTCGCTGACGTGGACGCCCTGGGATCGCATGCGGGCCCGCCGGCGCTCCACGCTGAGCCGGTGCTCGTGCACCTCGTCGGTCCAGGCCATGGCGGGCAGGGGCGGGATGGGGCGGGACTGGAGCCGGGTGTGGGGGACTCTGAGGAAGGGCTTCCGGGCTGCCGCCCCCCTTGTGGAACAACCCAAGTTGCGTTACCCGACGCAGCTTGCTGGTGCCAAGGTGCCACAGCCCGCCCAGCCCGCACGAGCGGTTTGAGCCAGGGTGCTGGCAGTTTTGTGAGAAGATTGGGCGATTTTTCTGCAGCGTAACTGCCCAATGCGGTGCCCCCACTTTGGGTGAACAGAGTGTGACCCCCAGTGTGACTCGGAGTACGACCCAAAGCGTGGCCCAGAGTGTGTCTACTGTGGGCAGACCCAAACTGCGGGCACTGTGGCCAAATTTGTGGCAGCGCATTCGCTGATGACGGCCGCGAATTCTGGAGCTCTGCGACGGCTTTTGGTTTCGGCAGCCAGTTGGCATGCGCGTGTGCTTTTCTGGAGTCGAGGCTGAGCGCTTGGTGTTTTTGCCGAGGCTGCTGTCACCGATATCCCAACTAGTAGCTTAGGTTCAGGTGCTCTGATGGTGTGTTTCTGGGCTTTGGGGGCAAACTTCCAAGATCTCGAATTCAGACCCATATACAACTGCAGTGTTTGAGCGCTGCTATCCTGCGCATACCTCGTGTTCCGGCCTCAAAGTTTCCCATTAATGGGGGTGTTCTCTCGGTAAGGGAGGGCATTGTCGCCCTGAGTAGGACCCTGCCAAGCGACGACATCATCCACGTTCAGCTTGACTTGCCAAGAGCGTCCACATTTGGACGGCTTTTCCAGACCAGCCAGAACCGCTTCAGAAGACGCGTTTTGGACGTTTCTGGCAAGACTAAATCCGCTTTCACTTGCTGATTGGCATTGCCGTTACTAGTGGATTGTTAATCTGTCTTATTGATTGCTCACACCTTCAAGTCGATAAACACGTGCACGGCCTGAGCCCCAGGCGTGTTGATCCACTCGCAGTTTACAGCAGTACTTCGAAGTAGCTAATGCTTTGCGATCAGCGCTTTCAAAATGTGCTTCCTAAAGTCGTGCCAGTGTTCACGTTTCTCTTTGGCTGGGCAGGCACTGGGAAAGTCGTGTACAGCAGCTTCGAAGTAGCTAATGCTTTGCGATCAGCGCTTTCAAAATAAGAAATGCTTCCCAACCAACTGTCGTGCCATGTTCACGTTTCTCTTGGGCTGGGCAGGTACTGGGAAAGATGTTGATGTTCATGGTGGGCGAACCCCTTCATTCTTCGGGGGGCACCCCTTCCCAGGGAGGCTGTGCGTTTTCTTGTTGGAATGATATGCAAGTGCACATGAGTGCAGCATAGTAGCCATTGATGCTTTCATGAAAGCACACAATGACGACCATGCGCCTTGCAACGACTTGCAGCATTCCATCAGCCTGTGGCCCCAAGGCCGCCAGCCTCCCACCCACACAGCAAATGTGTTGACTCGACATGGCGTGAGCCACCACTGCAGCGATTTCCCTATGTGTGGATCAAAGGTCTGCCAGCCTGGTCGTCCCCCTCTTCCCCCCCTTTTTCCTGAATACAGCCGTAAAATTTCAAAACAGTCTGCGCGCAAATTTTCCAGCACTCTGACAATCCGATTTCGATAGCGGAACAAGATATTCCGACATACACGTGCAGTATGCGTTGCTGCCGATCCGACAACACCATAGAGCACTGTCAGCCCGCCCCAAGGGCCCCTGGGTCCATGTCAACCCAGACGCTGTTGCGCACACCACCCTCTCAGGTGCGCGTGCCACTGCTTTAGTAAACTCGTGTGTCATGTGGCTCATGTGTGCTCATGTATCTAGTCTACCAGCAAAGCCCATCACTAATTCAGTCCTTCGCCAAAACTCCTTCAGCAGACTACTTTGGTGAAAAGTACACCAAAATGCACTAAAGCACACCAAAGTGCGCCAAAGTACAGCAAAGTACACACAAGGACGTCGTTGTGTGTGCACCCAGTCCCCATGACGTCCCCGCAGCCCTTCAGCAGACCACTTTGGCGAAAAGTACCAAAGTACACCAAAGCACACCAAAGCGCACCAAAGTGCAATAAGGTACACCAAGATGCACTAAAGTACACCAAAGTACCTTGCTGTCCCCACCCAGCCCCATGGCGTCACCCCCCGAAGCCCACCGGGATTGGGTTGGAGTTCGCGGCGACGTAGGCCACCACCACCGCCACGTCGTCCGGCCGCGCCCCGCTGCCGTGCCTTGCGTCGCCCTGGCCCCGCGCCGCCTCCGCAAAGGGGCACGCCGGGCTGCCCTCCTGCGCCACCCCCCTCGCCATCAGCACCAGCTGCTCGGCCAGCTGCTGCGGCGTCCAGCCCTGAGTCATCCGCTCCAAGATCAGCCTCCTGGTGTTGTACCCGCGCTCCCCGTGGAGATAGATGGCGTCGAAGAAGCCATCAGTTCCGGCGATTATCGCATCTCCGGCAGCGACCATTACTCGAGATTCGATGGCGGTGCGCGGATGGACGCCGCCGATTTTGGGGTGGAGCGCGGGGCTGGTGAGGTAGTGGGTGGAGTTGACGCCCCGCGGGTGCTCATTGGGGTCCTTGAAGGGCAGCCAGGGGGACTCGATGGTCATGTCGGGCGGGCCGCCGGGGTGGAGCGGGGGCAGGGAGGGGCGGAGGACCACGTAGCCGCCGTCGCCCACCTTGGCCACGTGCAGTGTGGACTGCATGGAGTCCAGGGCCAGGAGGCAGATCGTCGTGGCGCCCTGCACGGTGACCTGGGCACACCAAAGCGAATCCTTTTCGGGGATTTGAAATGCAACCATGCAAATGCAGGCTGTGCACCTATACAAATGCATCTACCCTACATTCCGCCGTAGTTTGGTTTGCATCACGTGTTACAATGTCGTTTGGCTTCATACTACACTCAAGTTGTTTTCAATTGCTTTGGCTAAGTACCTTGGCTTTGACTTGGTGCTAAGCGCCTCAGTACTTGGACCTACACTGCCCAAGAGGGTATTCAGTACGTCATGCTCCTCGACCAGTGCGTCCTCGCTTTGCGAGTATGACAAGCTGGCAATCAAATGCCAGCCCTGCACAGCGCATACTTTATAGTGCAATTGTTGCAGCTATTTATGATGAGGATTATTGGTTACAATGGTGCACGGTAATCCATTCTCAATTGATCCTGACCAACACTATATCATCAACACATGAAGATTGCAATCAAAGGGATTCCGGGTGCAATCCACCACAACAGCAAACACAACTGCTGGTTTCAATGTGAAGAGTCAAAAGCAAAAGCAAAACACACCAAGTCCAACGCCTTGCACACATGCGATGCCATTTTGTGTGTCTTTCCATCACTGGCATGACAACTTGCCCAAAAGAAGCAAACCTTCCTTCCATGCTCAAACAGCCTCGAATTCCCAAACACTGTGCAATTCCCACTGTACACTCTGACCAATCGTGCAATCCTATCTGCGTTTCTGGTACACGCCGCAAACGGATGCATCCCCAAGAACTGAGTGTAAGGCACTGGCGAGGTGGCTGACCTGGGAGTGCGCCCACTCGATGGCCGTGGTGGGGCTTGGGAAGGACCTGCCATCCTTGCGGGCCCGCATCACGAGCTCTTCCATTGCCTGGGCGGAGCGGTTAACGATCTCCTCGCTGTATCGCGCAGAGCTGACGTCCAGGGCCATGGTGCCTGTAACATCGCCCACGTCAGCATACTGCATCGGGCAGCTCCTCTTGCAAGGAGGAAGATCGCCTGATGATGATTGAATAATAATTGGATGACTTCATTCACTGTTAATGAATGATTGATAATGACTGAACGAATAGTTACGACTGAAAAATTGATTTTGACGAAATTAATCCACTTCACAAATCCTGTCTGTTCGACAAAATGTGAACTTACGTCCCTTGTATCCATGAAACGATGCTGTAACGTTACCCGCAACGCAACTTTCAGGCCAAAAGGCCATTCCTAGTAACACTTATTTTAGAGAAAGGAACAACTCTGGCGATACACAGCTAGTGTGGTAATCATCACCTGTAGAATGTCAAAGGTACAAAGCGCCCTATCATTCTCACATAGCCCTCATGATCTTGGCAAGGGCAAGGCCAGGAGCATGGACAATACTGAAATCTACGGAACCTAACTGCCCACCACCACGATTGGCCCAACAAGTCTCCCTCCACCTTCCCCAACCAACACCCACACACAGTTCATGTTCAGCCTGCTGCTCTTTCTTCTGCGAACGAATTCCTCCCAACTTCTTTCATTCTTCACATGCCAGCTGGCCTCAGGTGTGTTCGCTTTATCACGCTGTTCTTGGTCTATTGTAACCCAAACAATACCCGCATATGCCACAAACAAGGGAAAACAACAAACGAAAACGTTTCCATTCCCACATGAGCATAGAGATTTGGAAATAGGGCACAAATAACGGCCAGGAAGAGCAGGGGGAAGGAGGGTGGCCCGCGGAAAAATTGCGGCATGCATTTTGTTGGACAATTTCTGGACCTTTTCATTCCCAAAACAATATGCCACATTTCATTTTCTGGACCTTGTGACTGCGGGAGGGCACCCACCTCCAAGTCCATCTGCAACAGCGAAGGTAAAGTTGCAGATGGAAAAAGAGTCTTCGTTAAGCTTCATGCGGGGGTCCTGCTCACTCTCCCTGGCAGGGTCGGGCACCCGGCAGCCGCCGATGACAAGCTTCACGGGCTGAGCAGGCTGCATGGGCTGCACCCTGAAGCAGACAGAAATGCCACAACTACATAACGGCAAAGAAAGGCAAAGAAATCGCGACATTGTAGCGGATTGGTTTATGATGATCAAGTCACGATGGCAATTACTGTGGATTTGCGACCTGGGCCCGTTGTCATGTGTTACGTTACAAATGGAATGTCAAATTGTCAAACACACAACAAATGCCACCACAGTCAAGCCCTTTTGAGTTCAAACATACTTCAGCTCTTGTCATCAGCAGAAGCCAACCACTGCCCACCACCACCATTCCCTAGGTCTCCTGTGACCCCTCTACGGGCGTCGGGGCCAGCAAGACAACATAACAAGGACACAAGACTACAAAGAACAATACACCAAATGCCTGCTACCTTGTGCTGAAAGGCTGCAGCAAGTCCATCAACAACGTGGCCAGTGTTTTTGGAGCAACAGAACATGTTCACAAACTTCAGCAAAGCCTGCACACATATTGCCCATATCCCAGGTAGGATTACTCACCCAGTGAGGCCCCCGGCCATTGCAGCGATCCCAGGTTGCTGCAAGATCAGCCCATTTGCTGCCGGCATCCCTGCCATCTGCACCTGCAGCTGTTGCTGGCGCAACTGCTGCTGTTGCTGCTGCTGCTGCAGTTGTTGTAGCTGCAGCTGCTGCTGGTTGGACAAGCCGACCACGCCTCCAACGATGTTCACATTCTGCAACTGGTTGGGCGCCTGGCCGCCCAGCTGCAGCTGATCTCGTGCCATGGGGGCTATGCCTGTTGTGCCGCCTAGGTTCACGCCCAGCAAGCCTACCTGCCCGTTGGTCACCAGGCCTGCGATCTGGTTAGTCGGCTGCATTGTGTTGGCTATCTGCGCGGTTGCACCCATGGGAAGGCCTGCGGGATTGCACCAAGGAAATCAGCTCCACAACCGTACCACGCTGCACTGTACTGGACAGCACTGCGATAAACTCAGCTACAAGACGTTCAGCACTCCTGCTTGACTGTCACAGCAAGATGAGCAGATGGAAGAGGGAAAAGCACATAGGAACCAGGGCTAGCAGCAAAATGTTGGAAGATGTCAGTTAAAACAAAGCAAGCTGCATCTCAGCAGAGCGTGCCTGAGTGGTTCAGAAACAAAAATAGATCGAAACACATGAACTATTGTGCAAACATGCCATCTACACATGTGTGACTAAATCTTCTCACCAAAACATGGCGACTCACCCTGCTGCATCGTCTGAAGCTGCAGCTGTGAAGGCAGCACTGCGGCTGCATTGCCCATTCGTAGGGGTATTCGATCCAGCTCTGCGCCCCTCCTGGGCAGCACTCTGTTCCCAGCAGGAAGCATGTCCTCATGCCTCATGTCCGCACGCCAGCCATCTGGGCTCCTGTCCCCCCACATGGGATTGTGCTGCAGGTCTTCAAACCTGTGGTGCAGGGTGCGGCCATTCCGTTGTTAGATAACAACCCAGCAAGGGATGGGGCCAGCACCTGGACTCTTGAGTGTTGTGCAACGCTCTTGAGTGAACAAAGATGCCATGCTGGCACAATCAGGCTCCTTCCGTGTTCCAGGAATCGGCCTAAAGCTGAATCTTCATGGCCTGAACTTCTCATTGAATTCATTGACTGAATCCCCATCCGTGCAGCTGCCAGGTGGCATCCAACTAGTGTTACAGCATTCTGGTTGAGATCATAGTATGCATTGAACTCCAAAACCAAGCTACTCAACAGCTCACTGTTTCAACAAAGAGCCTGTGGCCTTGTTGCAAACTTCTGTCAGACGTTGTCTGTGGTCAGCATCAGTGGCACTGCGCTGCCTGTTCTTGGGACATTCAGAGCTTCATCGACGACAACTCCCAAGCCCACAGTGAGGGTGGCAGCCAGCCAATCACAACTCCTGAACGAGGGCAGCCACTCATCACATTTGGATGAATGAAATCAACCGGGTCACCCACCCCTTGCTTACCTAGACATTGGCGACATCCTCCGCCGCGGGGGTGAGGGAGTCCGAAGTCTGCGCATGGGACCTGGGCTCCGCCCCACTGGTTCTGGGAGCAACACAGAAGAATGATTTCCGACAAACAAAAATCGAACAAACAAATAAACTATTTCAATATATGAAATATCTAACAACCATGTGTTCAGCACCAGTGAGGCATGACTGCAAGATGTACTTGCTGACGAAAATTTGAAACACCATTTGAAAGGCCTACAAAACACCAGGAGGGAGGCCTCTGTGAAGCACATTTGAGTCCTACAAAGCACCTACATGACTTCCCATGTGTTCACAGCCTGATGCGCCTGACACATCCCACAGATACGCAACTGCCTCTGTGAGGGGAGAAGCAAATTTGTGGCCCAGTTGCCTTATAAACGCATGTGTATGCTTTTATATATTTCGCAGACACTGCATAACCAGCACAGTTACTACATGGTGACAGCTACTGAACCAGGACTGCATTACAAACCTTACTATCAACAGCACAGTGTAGCACACAATGCAGCACAAGATCGATGCAAAAGGCAGCAATTGTGAAACTCAGCGCCTCCCTGTGCACAGGTGTGCTGAAACTGCAACGAGCGCAGTGCTCAGCGATGGGACGTACATTCCCTTTGAGACCGGCATGCAATTGCCACACGCTTCCCAAGCAGCCCCATTCCTAGTTGGGGCAAGCGCAGACCCCATGAGAGCCTATAATCCCCGCAGTGCTCACCCTACTTGCTTCACTTCTATTCGTATCACGTTGCACACACAATACTACATACACTGATACACTTGCATCATATACTTGTGAAGTACACTACTGTATTGCAGAAATCACATGGTATTGTCTTGCATTGTCTTCTACATTATTGTCTTGCTTCACTCTGCTTTGTTGCCCCTTCCATGTTGTATCAGGTGATGCAGGCAACTGCTGTTGCATGACCTACCATTGTAGTAGCCACGCTCGGCCGACCGCGACCTGGGCCTCCCCCTTACTGGCCTCATTGCTGGATCCATGGCCCGCGGCCGCGAGGGCAGGAGTGGCCGTCTCTCCATCAGGGGCCTCCTCCGCAGCTCATCCTGGAACCTCAAGGGATGGTCAGATATCCTGGCTCCCCTGCAAGGCAAAAGCAAAGCACAAATATTATTATCTTGCACGGAATGACAGCAGTTGGCACATAAGACAAATGTTCAGTTTGTCTACAAGTAATGCTGCCACCCTTATGACGAGACAAGAGTGCCGTCACAAGGGCGGATCATGAATCTCAACAACTATGTTGATGGCTTGCCCTCAATGCAACTGCCAAAGCTGAGGGCAGAGCAAGGGCGCAACCAAGACCTGGCATACATAAACAAGCATGGAGCACACAATTGCAGCACATGCAAAATGCTGTGCATTACCTTAATACCCATGCAACAACATGCAAAAGGTTATGTAACAGGTGGCAGGGGACAGTCGTTCACAGGCTTGTCTGATATTGTGAAGTCCAAGGATATCATTGAGGACCTCACCTCGGGACCCCAACCCAGCCAATGAGAGTCCAGGTCAGCATCAAGGTCGATCATGATGGAACATATGCAAGCCATGCTACATGCAGCTTTTAAAAGACAAGTTGAGGGGCCAGACAAGCCAATTCATAACAATGTCCTTCTTTGAGATGCCGACGAATTAGATACTTGTCTTGTTCCTCACAGGATATGGAGATGATCTTTTCAGTTCAGCTCCCAAAAAGGATGTCACAATACAGAAGAGATGAACTTTGGTTGTCTAGAACATTACCAACATGTGTCGTCTGAGAAATGTTGTGGTGACTTCAAGCACGGTTGGATGTGCCCTGGTGTGCTTGCTGTCCCAATCTCACTGCTGGAAAACTCTGTTTCTAGCTGGCATGATCAACACAGATGCGGACGGGCTTTGCATATCACTGCCTTGCAGCCTCTTGGAAAATGATTTGTTGAAACATGGCAAACTCAAAGAGGAATTCATTTTACCCTCACCTGTCTTCTGCCCCTCAGATGGACAACACCGACCCCATTCCAGGACATGATTCAAGGCTACATGGAGATTATAGGCACTAAGGTAATAACTGTAGCACAAGGTAATAATAAGCGGAAATGTAGGCTGCTGTGGATTCAGGCAATTTGTAAGATAGCAACTGTGGGCATAAGGCAATAATTAGAGGTCCAGATATGTGCAGTGCATGGATGAGGACACAACTGGACGAGCGACAATACCTTCCAGCATTGATGCTCTTTCCAGCAATCTGATTGCCAAACAGCAACACCCACCTACTTTCGATTCGAACCACTGGAACAAAGCACCCACTGTGAGTGGCCACGATTTCTGATTTAAGGAGGGGGGAGCTCTTTGGGATGCCAAACCTCTCTTCCTCTGAGACTGAGTGTCCATTTAGACACACGCAACCCAATGGGCTTACAACATCTGTGCTTTGTTGCTAGGTGGCACGAGGCTCATATCCCTTCTGCTAGGAGGTGGTGACACCTGGGCTCTTAAAAGGGCTGCACAAACTTGTGGAATCAACTACGAAAAAGGCATTCAGCTCACCTATCTCTCCCGACACCACCAAATCGCGACAGCCTTTCTTTTTCCTCCTTTCCATTGAGGTTCCTCTTTTCCCCATTGCCTGCCTGGGAGCCCTTGGCACCCTGACCCTTGTCCTCGCCTTCGGGTTTCCTGGCTGGGTACTTCATTGGGAACTGGAGCATCTCCTCAGGGGCAAGCTCCCGGAGCAGTTCGTCAAGCCAGAGGCTGGAGCCCGTACAGATCGCCTGGTAGGGAATGGCACCGAGGCCCAAAACGGCATCCCTCCTGCCAACAATGCAATCGAAGCTGCCTGAAAATTACTGACTCGGTTTCAAATTGTTCAGTTCTGCTGTTATACTTGAGTTGTTCAGGGGTGAATTATTAGTGTGTTGAACTTCGTGGGTCACAATGTTATCTGCAAGGGGACCTGACTGATTCAAATGTTGACTATGCATTGACTTCGTTGCCAGAGGTCGGCTAGGCACCACCCCTGCAACCTGCAGGCGATGATCGGCTATGCATTCAGAGACCCTTTTTGGCTTGAGCCTGCCTGAAATTCTCAAGAACTCTTTGGAACAAAAACTGTGCTGCAATAAGTGTCCTTCGATGCCATGCAGGTCCTTGGCATGTAGCATCAATCTGGCCATTGTCCACACCGACAGGTGTGCACATAGCCAAATGGCAGGTGGCAGCAATGTTTCAAATCTGCAACAAATGAACTCTGTGCCAAATTTGATCATGTGTCTCAACAAAACTCAGTTTGTGGATGCACCAATCATATCGCCCTGCAGGCGATAGAACAGCAATTACCCTCATTCTGGCACAAGCACTCAAAGAGCTGGATCTACACAGCATGAAATTCTAAAGTTCACAGGAAGAGGAAGGGTCTTCACCTCCTCTCCTTGGGGACCTTCATCAGCATCTCCTTGCGCTTGCCGTCCACAATGCCCTTCACCCTCTTGCAGCCCAGACTGTACACAGGGTCCAGCCGCACCTCCTCATCTGGAACCTGGAGCTCCTTGGCTTTCGCTTTGCACAGGCCCATGAAGAATTGCATCGCGTTGAGCACTGGCTTCAGGTCGGCCTTGCTCAAGGCCTTCAGTGCCTCTGCCCTCACTCGACTGCACGTTAGTGGGCACATTCACTCCATCATTCCCGTATTCAACAGCTATGGAGTTTATATGTACCTACTGAAACCGTTGCAAAGCTCCTATGAATAACTATCCAATTGATGTGAAATAACCATGAAGTTGCCATGAAGTTCCATGCTTAATGCAGCAACAAGCTTGATGCTGTTTATCAGAAAAGCAGTTATCCTTCAAGTTGCGTAGTTACCAGGCAAAACCAGTAGAAAGGACCCAGTATGGTGCACCTTCAGCTCTTATGAGCTTCAGCCCTCATGGAAGTCCAATATCCAGAAAGAAACTGGGGCCTGTGTCCTTTCAGCAATTCTTGCCCAGCAATCCCTTCCACATTCTGTCCTTGCCCATTGGAACTGTGCACTGCATATTTCATCTTGACCCTGGATGTCAGATGACCTTTTTGGCAAATATGCTGCCAGCACACCAAATGGCAGCGTGCTTCGGCTGCACATGTCACAACGCTGGACCCACCATGGAATGTCATGCCACCGGGGTGCATGGATGGAATCCAGGAAGCCTCTTTGCAAGACTCCTTACTGACCAGTAATACACAGCACAACAGTCCCACAAAATGGCAGCTGATTGACCCGTACCATGTCTCAGGAACTGTGCACTTCATGTCACCTTCACTTCTCATCCCCTTCATCGACCTATACTCACCATGGAAAGTCGTTCAGCCTGTTTGTGTGAACAGTGTCAAGGAAACCCTGGGCCAGAGTGAGGCCCTTCTGGTAGTCCTCATCTTCCATCTCACAAGGGTCAGGTATGATAGCATCCTTGTCCCTCCAGATGTATGTCCCACGCTCCTCGCCATCAATCTGGACCTGCACGCAAGTAAGTGAAACACTCGATCAGTTTCACCAACAAGTGACAATCCACGCCCATACATCTGCACAACAAAAAGCTATGTTGGGGGATGTGGCAGGTGTGAAAGGATTCCCCTGTGCTGCAAATGGTGCTTGGCAGATGACCAAATTCATCATGTTTTTTCCCACCTTGAAGCCATTCTTCCCATGGTCCCTGTAGATAATGCGGCTGGCTTTCCTGGCCCTCTCCTTCGCGCTCACTGGTGCACCAATGCCCACAGGCCGCCTGACCTCCGGGAGCTGTGACATGGAACACAGCAGCAGTTTATTTCCTGCAACAGACGAAACTTTCTGCTGCATAGCAGCTGTTGTCAAGCAAAAACAAACTTAAGTGCATGACTTCTTTTTTGGTGTGACACCTAGAGTTGGCAGAAAGGAAAGCTGTTGAAAGATCTGCTGGCAGCCACTGAGATCCACAAAGTCTGGTAAATTTCTGGCAAAATGGTGCAGATTTTCTGCACGAGAGGATCAGGTTGCAAGGGATGTGGTGAGGATGCAATTGTTGCAAGTGCTTTCAATTCTTCTGTTGTTCCATTTCACTTTCACTGCTCAGTGTATCATACTTCCACTGGTTCTTCTGGCATCTCCTTGACGGTCTCTTTGCACTCTATCTTCCTTACGCCAACCTCTACAACAGCCACACTGAGGCCCAGTGGGCCTGTCTCGCCAATGCCAATAACCTTTGGCACTTCATCTGTCCATGAAAAAGAATTGCAATGCACAACACTTGTCAGGCATCAATCAATCGCGAACATGCAAGGTTTTAGTTTAAGCAAGTCTCAACAGCACACAGCGCAAAGCATTGCCCCCACCCTGCGCTACTGCACATAGAACAATTCAAACTGGCCATGTTCACAATGCCCTGCATACATTAAGCTCGCCATCAGCACATTGTCTGACAGCAACACAAGAAATACACACACCTTGCAGCAATGCTATACAAGGGGACAGGCAAGTGCTGTGGAAGCATTCTGGTGTGTGGAATAGTGACCACTGTGGTCTTCCAGGGTCATGCTTCGGTGCGCCAGGAGAAAGGCAATCCAAAAGTGCTACTTCCTCCGTCCGGAAATAAATGAAACAGTTTGTTTAAGAGTCCATATTTATGTCACGAACTTGTTATTTTTCCTTAAAAATTGGACCAAAGCACCACCCACACATTTGCTATATACTGCCAAATTTTTGTGGACAATGAATAAGTACCGGCCAGTACTTTGAACCCTTGTGATTCAGGTCAAAAAGTCGAGGTTTCTCAAGGTCTGGCCGAACAGCCCTAAAAACAGGTCCTTGACAGGTTGCCTTGTGACTGACAGTGCGCAGCCCAGAGTGGATATCTGTTGCTGCTGTCTTGGTGGCAGGTCAACACCGTCCCTACTAAAGGGGGAAGAGCACGAATCTGGATTTTGTACTGGTCGATCCTTGATCGCCACCGTGGTTTTGATGGCCTTACAAGGACAGCAGCTCTGGATCGGAGACCCAGAAATCTGCGAACCTCACAATCACGGTGTATGCAGAAAGGGCCCCCCGCCATGGGCGAGGATGCCATGGGTGCTAAGACCACCACAGAAGGTTTGGGAGAATGTGAGCATGCCCTTGCTGCGTGGCAGCCAGAAGATCGTTGAAACTGGTTGTGATGGGCACGTGCCACAAGAAGCACTTTGCGCTCCATTCACGCTGCTTTCAAGGGCGCCGTTGCAACTAAGCTTCGCCCGTGCCATTGAAAAACGCTAGAACACCATCATAGCGACACGTGGGGTCTCCGATAGAGCATCCAAACCCTCCATTGTCATGTTTGGCGGGGTTGAAACCTGTTTGGAAAGAGGGGTTGCTTGCATCAGGAGGCACTTAATCAGAGATCTGTGCTGAACACAGAGCTTATGTTGCGCGCAAATATCCTGCAGCTAGTCTTTAGCCACTAGGAGACCTCTAGGCAGTAAGGGATCCCAGGAATGTCGGTGCGCTGCTGTGGAAGATGGGGGAGATTTCGAGCATCCATCGATGGCGGTACGCAGACATAGGTGCCAATTCTGTCGAGCATGCATTGCGAAAGGTGTCGATCTTTGGGCTAGAGCCTGAGCGCCAAGGCAACTCCCCCCTTCTGATACTTTGAAGACCATTGGAAAGGGCATCACTCGTGCGCCGGGCTTTCCTGGGTCCGGGGCACTAGGTTTTTGGGGGGTGGGGGACTGACTGCGAATGTTCAAATTCTGGTGCTGAGTAGTTGGGCTTCAAAGTACTACCATATGTCTGAATCTCATTTTCTGTCGATAAATTTTTGATAGAATTGTCTAATTTTGAAGGAAAAATAAAAAGCACTGGTCCAATTTTGAAGGAAAAATAAAAAGCACATGATAAAAATGTGGTCAGTCAACAAACTGTTTCATTTAATTCCGGATGGAGGAAGTAGTATTTAGAATTCTCAAAGTTTACAATTCAAAACACCATGACCTAAGTTTGAACTCTATGGTTTTAATTTCACTGCCGTCAACAATTCTCACCTGTGTCCACACCTCCCTTCTCCCCTGCACCCTCTTCAATGTCCACATCCCCCACTTCTATCTTCACCCCCACCCCACCTTCCTCCTCATTGACTTCAACCAAAACTTTAGCACGTTGCAAGGGCCCAGGCAGCTCTTCCTCAGTCACTTCACTTTCTCTGAGGTCGTCAGCAGTTTCAGCATCCTCCATCCTCGTATCAGTGGGTGTAGTCACAGGGGTAACAAGGCGGCTGCTATCTGTGAAATTTAGACTCAGCTCGTCCCCGTAGGGCGTACCCTCGCCGTGGAGGGGTGGAACAGCTGGCACCTCTGTGATAGTGTCCTGACCGGCATTGTGCAGCAATCAGATGTCAGTATGTTGGCCTCGCTGCTGCGGAAGCGAAAAAGCACTTCCCAACCACATTTGAGGTAAGTACATTCGAATCAAGTGGTTTGCAGTGACACACTGCAAAATAATAATACCATGTTGAAATTCCCAGTATTCAATATTTCGCTCAAATTTTTAGTGGCTCCGACAATCGTAAAATGCTGCCCTGCAATGTCAATTTGCTCAATTGAGCAACCTGGTGGTAGCACAAGCACTTTGGACCACGTTTCCTCACAGATTATGCTGGGTGCCAGCTGGCTGATCACAGATGTACTATCCATGTCACAGAAGCATGCACAGCCTGATAGTGCAAAGCATGTTTCAACAAGTGGCACTTCACCTTGATTGACTGGATACTCAACCATACCCCGCTTCAACGCCAGCCCCACTACGGGGATGGGATCTGACAATGAGGGCTTGATTACAGATGTGCTACGATGGGGGAGAGGCACACAATGTCCAGCTCTGATATTCCTTCACATCCGATCAACACTAACAGCATCCACAAACTCCTTCATGTGAACTACCGCCCCTTTGCAGGGAAATTATTCAGGCAGTGGACTCATTGAAGGCATGATACACTAAACAGGGACCTGTTGCTCTGCATTGTCAGGCCTCAACGAATTCCACTTGGCCTCAACCACATGAACAACAACAGACATACAGCTGATTCAGAAACAATAGGACATCAAGAATTCATAATACAGGCCAACAAACAACAATTACCTGACTTACGATAGTGAAGCAACATGGCAACACCTCCCTGCGCTACATGTGCACTGGGGCAAGCCAAGGTGACATTCATCACCCGCTGAACTCCCACCACAAGCCCAGTCATTTACATGAAACCAAGTTCATTTCCAGGCACATCACTACTCTTCAATGCAAATTTCAGTGCCAATTGCCCCAGGTACTGGAATAGCTTTGATGCCCTGAGTACCCTCGGATGTGATCGACTGCCAGTGGCAGTGTGACAATTTCCTCTTTGTTGCAAACGAATGTCCATTGCCACCTTGAGGCCATTGGTAATCTAAGTGTGAACCTCAAATGATTATATCCACCCAAAATCACAGCACAAGATGACATAGCTAGCAGTCACTGATCATTGTTGCATTACCCTTCACACCCTTCTCATTGCCCCTTGGGAGCAAAGGCAGAGTCCCCATCCAATCAAAAGCAATGTACACACAAGCCCCACATCATAGGCAAAAGGCCTGGTGGGCACCTGGTTTGAATTTGTGTGTTAGGGCTGCAGCTGTCTGAGGTTGCAGGGTTCCAGAGTCCATGCAGGTGGCATGCCCAAGTTTACAGGTGGTAGTGACAGGCTTGCAGTCAAAAGAAGCACACACCAAGACAATGGAGCCTACATTTGCTGCCTTTCCTTTCTTGTGCTTGCAGAATGCGACAAAGACTCTTCGTGTCATGCCTGGCACTTCCCACAACCTGCGGACGGAATGTTGTTCAACTTTGAAATGGACGGCAGTGGAAACTGCATTCAATCTATGCCACTATCGTTGCTTTCACTGAAGATGCTATCACAGAGAGTCACATTACCTGTGTGCTGGCATTGGCATCCTCACCCTCTGTCTTCTGACGCTTCTCTGGTCGACCGGAAGTGTCCACTTCCTCAGACTCCGCAATTGGGCGCTTCTCTGGTCGGCAGGACTCCTGCACATTGTTTTCTGGAGAGACGGGGTCACACAGGACTCAGCACCGAGCGGGTTGTGCCTGATACATGCACTGTGCATAAATCCAGTGGCCAACTTTGAGCCTGACTGTTAGCACAGGTCTTTCAGTGCTCCCAGGACATGCAGTTGCCAAGTTGTAGGTTTCAGATGCTGGTAGTCCAGGATGATAGGGCAGAGCAACTCAAAAGCAGGCAGCGATCGTACTTGTGTGCAGCTCGGGCACCCCTAGCTGTTAGAACATTCTTTCATTCATTCCATTCCAAATTGCAATTGACAAATATTGCCAATTCTGGAAAGGGAAATCAGGTGAAGCTAGGCTTGACAGGGTGCCACACATGTTGTGCTGCTGGCCAAAAACTGCCAACATATGATTGGATCCGTACTGAACAACACCATAAGCCAATGCACTTGTGTAATGTGTGCTCCAGTATGCGGTAGGCTGTGATAATATCCTAGGCATGAAGTGCACCACACTATGTGAACCGCCATTGTACTACCCGTGTCTGCTGTGGCCGTGCTGAGTGGCCGCTTCTACTGTTTTCGAGCTACTCAGTAGCCCTTGCTCTTCTTACTCCACTTGGTGACTCCCACATCAACTTCGCCCCCTGCCCAAAAGCCAGGGAATCCCAGTGCAAAAGGGATAACCACTGTGTGGCATTTCCTCACTGCAGAATTGCTCCTCACAATAATTGCAGGCAGTTCAGGCACGAATCTACTCTGGAGGTAGAGCAGATTGAAGATAATCAACTGGGAGTGGACAGCATATTGATTATCACAATGCATACCAACTATGGTATCTTCCTCCATCTCAGAGGCTCCGCAAGGCTCATCTTCGTTCTCTGAAGCTGCTCCCCGAGCGTCATCAGCTGCATTGTGGGCTTCCTCATCCTGAGATGTGTTTGGCATTGCAAGAGCAGCATATCAAAACCGTCACTGCAAATCTGGAGGCCAGGGCTGCTTCGGAGGTGCAAAATTGGCAACACAAATCCGCAGCTGCCTGGAAAGAATTGCATAATAGTCCACAAGAAGCTGTGCTGACATTTTGGTGTGTTATGAACAGTACTTCACTTGCCCAATGAGCAATAACACCCACACGAAAAGTGCGCATCTGGCAGCTGTCTGTGGCTGAAACCACAGGCTTGTCACCAGATTCATCAGGCAGAGCCTAGTGCCTGCCTGCCCTGCCTCACTTCCCTGGTGTGACTCCCAACTGCCATCAGTACAGATGTCAGTCACACTGGGGCCACACCAGCCCTTTTCTCCCCCCACCCCACCCCTGGGGGCAGTTGCCTCCATTGAATGCGAACCTCAGCCATGCAATCAAGCCAGTTTCCAGCCAGGTTCCATCACTTCAAGGAGGCAATGCCATCGCAGGCATTGTTCTTTGATCAGGAAACCCCTGCCCTCTGCCAAGGGGTGGATCCTTGACTCTTTTAGGCATCAACGGCTACACAGCATACAAACCTGTCTGGCAGCAAGCCATCTGATCCAGCGCGCAATTTGAAGAAAAAACAGTGAATGGCACGCATCCAGGGGTGGCCCCATACCACAAGGCATGTCCTTGTGACCGAACAATAATTTGTCTTATTAAGACAAATGCAGACAAAAGGGGATTATGCACAGCCAATTTCAGTCCACTGCCGACCCCCGTTTGGAATCGGGCAGCAGGGAAGCAGCTCAACATACCTGCCCAGCGGCAGTCTCTATGTCTTCGCCTTCTGCGACGCCGACATCAACTTGGTCGTCGCCTTCGTCGCACTCAGTTACAGGTGACTCTACTGGTGCCTCCCCCTCTTGGAGCGCTGGTGGCTCCTGCTGCGCCGATGTGTGACTGTCTCCCCCCCCAACCCTGTCTGCAGGCTCTCCACCTTTTGAAAAGCCATTCTCGTCATTTTTCTGTTCAGGCCGCAGCTCGTCAGATTCGACGGATTTGACGCTGCTGGGCGCGTCTGCTGCTTGGGCTGGCGTGGGCTGGGCTCCCAGGCCTCCATTGGTCCCGCTGGTGGTGGTGGTGCCCGCACGGCCAGTCATAGCCAGGGGGTGCACAGCATGCCTGGCCACAGCCGGGGCTGGCGCCTCGGCTTGGTCTGCCAGCGGCTCATCCATGTGGATCCCCTGGGGAAATAATCTGTCGCCGATCTGCACGAAGCCGAGCTCGAGGAGGCACTCCAGAACAAACTGGCAGCGCATATCGTCGGTGATGCCCCCAAGGGGCATTTTGTGGGTGTCTCTGTTGCCAAGGGGCGCAAAGACGCACTCTCAGATCACCCAGCACACAGAACAGGGGCGGCGGGAGGCGCCACCACGCGCCATTGGCCGCTCCAATGGCTCCCAGCGGCAGGTGCCAGGCGCATGGCCGGGTGCATTTGCCGAAAGGCTAGGGAGCCAGAGTTGCGCTGGGGGGGCGCTCCGGCTCAAGGGACGCCGAACGATGGCGCGCAATTCGGGACACGTCCGAGTCCGTTGGAAAGGACCCCTTCCGCCGCCCAAGGCCGACGTCTCTCCCATCGCCAGCGCAGACGACACGCCACCCCCCCCCCGCGCTGCATGAGCCGCATTCGACTTCCCTACATCAGGGTCGAGCCCTCCAGGGCGGGGACCTCCCCGCCCCCTCCCCACAGGCCCGCGTCGAGGATTTGACTCCCCAGGTGGCACAGGGACACCTGTGGCCGGCGGTGGCGCACACCCGAGCGGGCTGCACGCACCCGGCGGATCGTCACGCGCAACCGGTGAGATCAACCAAGGGGGCCCCCACTTCCCGAGCGCAGACCGAAGACGTTCGAAACCCCCTCTCCATCGCGACCCCGCACCCACCCCTCCCCGGCGCCGCAAGCTCAAAACCTGCACCACCCCCTGCCACCCCACCCCCTCCCCATGCCACAAGACGCCACCGCGAATCACCCAAGCGCCCCCTCCCTCCCCCACCCCACCCCTCTGCAACTCTTCCCCCACGCCGCGCCATCCCACCCCGCGCCGCCCAGCCCGGCCCGGGCCCCACTTCCCCAACCCCGCCACCCACGATGATCGCCTTCTGGACTCCCCACCCCCCCTTTGCTGGCGTTGTGTGCTCATCATTTCGCATCGCAGACTCCATATCATCTTTCACCACATGGAAAAGAGTCCCCCACACACTTGCCCAGGAGGGGGTGCCCTTCGTACCACCTGTTTCTTCCTCTCCTTACGTGCAACCTTGCCCCAACACCCCCCACATCCCTACCCCCCCACCAACAACCAAGAAAAAGGAATCAAAGGCCCAACTCACGGCTCCCCCAGCCGATTCACCTGGTCCTCAAGATCCCCAGGAGGTCCCCGCGCTCCAGCCCCGCCGCCGCGATCTCGTTCCCCTCCGGAAACAGCTCCCTTATGTGGTCCAGCATTGCCGCCCGCACCCTCTTCTCGCCGATCGGCAGCGCGCCCGACGGCCCCGTGGGCTCGTTGCCGTCCGCCATGGCGTCACGCGGCGCTTGTTGCCGGCGGCCACAACGAGCCACACCGGCCCGTCGCGCCTTCATCTGGGCGGATGGGTGCTGCCCCCCTTGGACGGAAGGTGCTGTGCAGGCGGATGCGCGTGGGCTTTTAGGTTTTTGAGATTTGACAACGGTTCAACCGGTAGTGTGTGGCATATGGCATATATCCCCCCACCCCACCCCCACCCATGTAATGGCGGCTCATATTTGATATAAAGGGGGA